GGAGGAGGAGGAGGAGGAGGGAGGAGGAGGAGAAGAAGGAGGAGGAAGAGGAGGAGGAGGGGGAGGAGGAAGGATGGAGGAGGGAGGAGGGAGGAGGGAGGAGGGAGGGAGGGAGGAGGAGGGGGAGGAGGAGGAGGAGGAGGAGGAGGAGGAGGAGGAGGAGGAGGACCAGAGTGAACCAAGAGTCATCAACAATGCTGGAATTAACCCTCCCTCCAAGCTCCCTCTGCGTACGCCCCCACAACGCTTCATTCCCATTGAGGGGACTGCCTCGTTGGAAGACAACCGCTTGAACATCCTGAAGCATTCCAAAACATTGTTCTCGGGATTTCAACGCCACGTATCAACCTGTTTGTTGCGTCTTGACGATCCGGAATCGTGCCAGAGCGCCATGCTTGTGATTTCAACACCGTGAATCAACGTAACTGTTGCACCCGCATAATCCTGAATCCTGCCAAACACAATTTCCAGTACGTTAACGATGAGAGTCCGTGAAACTCTTGCGAAACTTGAAAACGAATGTGCGCGGCGCTGAGGCGAGAGCCACAGTTTGAAAAGGAACCGCCCTCAATCCGTGGAACTCTTGTATTTGTTTACAACGAATGTGCGCGGCGCTAAGGCGAAAACTGCATTTTGAAAACGACCCGCCCTCAATCCGTGAAACTCTTGCAAGCTTTTACAACGAAGGTGCGCGGCGCTAAGGCGAGAGCCACATTTTGATAACGACCCGCCCTCAATCCGTGAAGCTCTTGCAAAGGTTTACAACGAAAGTGCGCGGCGCTAAGGCGAGAGCCACATGTTCAAAACGACCCGCCCTCAATCCGTGAAGCTCTTGTAAAGGTTTACAACGAAAGCGCGCGGCGCTAAGGCGAAAACTGCATTTTGAAAGCGACCCGCCCTCAATCCGTGACATTGTTTTCACTTTGTAAACTTCAGAGTCATGAATGGTGAGGAAGTCTCAGGCGAAACGCCCGGCCCGCCCTAAATACTGGCCTCGGGGTGCGACAGGGAGAAGTTATCTATAAGGAGAAGGAATGGAGGATATGGGGAGGGAGAAGGAGGAACAGGAACAGGCGGAGGACGGGCAATATGAGAAGAAGGGGGGGTAGGGAGAAGGAGGAGGCAGCAGGAGGATGGGAGAGGAGGATCTCGTGGCGGAGGAAGGAGGAAGGGGAGTAGGAGGCGGAGGCGAGAGGAGGAGGAGGAAGAGCAGAGAGTAGGAGGGAGGAGAAGGGAGTAGGCTTCCACGAGGGCCCACATAGATCCCCCTAGGCCCCACAGAAGGCTTTCACTACGCCTCCAAGAGGCCGTCGAGAAACCCCTCACCAGGCATCCAAGATTCCGAGTCAGGGGCACAGGGGGGGCAGGGGAGGAGGAGGTGAGTCATAACGAGGACAGCGGGAGCAGGGGATGAGGATGGGGGTCCTCGGGCTCTATTGGGCCGTCTTGGGGGCCTTTGGGGCTGTGCTGAGGCCATCTCGAGCCCTCTTAGGGAGCTTCTTTGGGCAGTTTTGGCGCGTGTGGGCTTCTTCGGGCCAGATGAGCCCACCAGCCACCCCGCTCCAACGGCCAGACCAAGCTTCCTTTGGGAGGGGGCTGAGTAGAAACAATGATCTTACAGGCCGAGGGGCAATGATCCCCGAATAGTTGGCGAATTCCTATTGCTATCGTCCACCTAAGGTGCGGGTCAAGGTGCAGTGGGAACGAGCGCAGGCCGCAACGTATTTTCCAGGGAGCGAGGTTCTGAGTTTTAGGCCTCCTCGGTGTCCGTTATGTTCTTTCGAGGTCCACTTGAGGGCTTGCAGGGGTCGTCTCGGTGTCCTCTTGTGGGCCTCCTAGAGAACTTTGGGATGCAAGCGCCCTGTGGGGCTTCTTGACGGCCTGTTCGGGGTCGTGGGCCATCTCGCGTGTGTGCGTGTGCGCTTGTACGCAGAAGTGTTTGTTGTCATGCTTTCTTGATTGCTTGCCGAGTTGCCAGGTTAGAATGTCAACTTGCGGATTGTTTTGTTGGTTGACCTACTTGGTTGCGTGCATGTCTTTTTGCTTGCATGAGCCCTTCCCTGCTTCTGTTTGCTTGCTGCTGGCACCCTGCTATATCTTTCACTGGCATCTGCTTGGGGTCAACCCTAGTACTCAACCCTAGTACGGTCACGCATCACCCTCGATCGACTACCCACCCTGTGGGTAGGCTGCTCGGAAGGCCAGCTGCACGCAGCTGCTTTGCAATCCGTTTCCAATGTTTCCTTGTTTTTGCTACGCCCCGAGAGGAGCCGACAGAGCATTACATCCAAAAAGTTCGCGGCCTATTGGACGACCTGATTGAGCGTTCAGTCTCTGCTAGCCGACAAGGAGGGGTGCACGCAGTCTCAAGTTTTCCGGCCCTCCCAAAGAGCCTCGCTACCGAGATCAAGAAGGCGATGGAAAAGCTGGTCGAGCAGCGTAACAGCTGTTGTGTACAATCGTGCCGTAATGTGTTGCACCTGTTCGATTCCCGAGATAGCAGACGCATCGATCTTCAGCAAGATCAACTGAGGCAGCGCAAGCAGCAGTGCCTCAAGCAGCTCAAGCAGCAGTGCCTCAAGCAGCTCAATTTGCAACCCACGACAAGGGGAAACGCTACAGGGGCAAGAAGGGAAAAGGCTACAGGGGCAAAACGGGCCTCTCTCGTTGCCGGTGTCGTTAGTGGTGTCGCCGCGGGGGCCTTGGACATCCGGGCCCCGGTCTCATTCATCAGCGGTGTCCTGATTGGGGGGAGTGTTTACGCTATGTGGCCACGCAAGTCGGTCGATGCACTTCTGGGCACGCAGCGGTCGAACAGTGCTTCCCACGACGATGCCGACAGCGACATCTATGAGGGTATGGCTCTCGCAATGGCGTATTGCGAGATGGCCGTGGAGATTTACCACGTGATGATCCAAGCTGACGTCACCTGTGAGCTCACAGAGAAGTTTTGCCGCGATTTGCCTCATGCCTTGCGCGAAAGGCTCAACCTGAATTCAGCAATGCCTAAGGACCTGCTTAGATAGCCAGTTGCCTACGGCACAATCGCCATGGTGCCAGCGCAGCATCGAATCAATCAGAGCAAGTATACAGGTGTACCTCCATGATGACTGGGGATCGCGTCGGGCGCGATAGCTTGGCCGTGCAGTATCAACGAACCTAGGGGCTCGGTAGAAACATGTCGGGGAAGTCTGGACAACTCTCGCGTCTTTGGGCCCTCTTGAACTTTCGAGGGGACCTCTTGGAGCCCCTAAGGTTGTCTTGGAGTCCTCCCTGAAGCCGTCGGAGACCGAAAAGCTTAGGAGCAAACGCCATCGGACAACCACTTAGTTTTCCGTGTTTGGGTCTTGCTGTGTTGTTTTGAGAGCTCATTGCTGGCCTTTCGGGGCTTTTGATGTCATGAGGAGCGCCATGAGTGAACAGGTATGTAATGGCCGCCACGAGGGCGCGAATTGCGATTCCTCATTCTCGTCCTCCCCGTCCTTCTCTCTTCTTCTCGTAGGGGATGGGGGTGCGAGAGCTTGAAGTTATTCGCGAAGCGCAAGACGCAAGCATAGCTCTACACTTGTCCACGCTAGTGCGCCGTGACAGGGAATCACCCCTGGAATACCACAGACATATCCGCCGCCCCCTGTCGATTCATCGCAGGGGCGCCTGGCGTGCTGAATCCTTTCGGTTTTGGTTTTGGTTTTTCCGAAAGAACTCTCCCTGGGGCTTCGGCCCGTCCCGCCGGCCACCCGGAAAGATTGCCCAGACCCGGTTCCAAAGGGTTGTTCCTGCTCCAGACGGCTCCAAGACGGCCCCAGATGGCCTCCAGGATCGCCCAAGACGGCCAAGATGGCCTCCAAGACGGCTAAGATTGCCCCAAAACGCCTCCAGGACGGCCCAAGATGCACCCAAGACGGCCTCAGGTAGCCTCAAGATGGCCCCAGACGGCCCCGGAGCCCCCCTGAGAGGTCCCCAGGACAGCCCAAGAGGCCTCCAAGAGGTCCTCCAGGAAGGCCCGAAGATGCCAAAATCATTGATTTTCTTTTTTTTTGTTTCCTTTTTCCTTTTTTATCAAAGAAAACAAAAATCATTGATTTCCCTTAGGTTTTGGAAGGATTTGGGCACTGGCGCCTCTGGGGCGTCCCGTCGGCCCCAGGACGGGCCACGACGCCCCCAAGGTCGGCCCAAGATCGCCCGAGAGGCCTCCAAGAGGGCCCCAAGAGGGCCCAAGAGGCCCCCAAGATGCCCCCCAGAGGGCCCCAAGGCGGCCCACGAGGCCTCCAAGACGCCCAAGATGGCCTCCACGACGGCCAGGATGGCCCCAAGATGCCACCAGCACGGCCCAAGATGCACCCAAGACGACCTGAGATGGCCTAAGATGGCCCAAGACTGCCTAAGAGGCCCCCAAGAGGCCTCCAAGACGGCCCAAGAGGCCTCCAAGAGGTCCTCCAGGACGGCCCGAAGAGGCCAAAATCATAGATGTTCCTCAGGTTTTTGAAGACTTGCTTCTTTTCGGCATTCCGACGGCTCTAGACTCTAGACGGCCCAAGAGGCCCCCAAGAGCGCCCACGACGCCTCCAAGATGGTCCCATGACGGCCAAAGAGGCCCCAGAGACTGCCCCAAGAGGGCCCAAGAGGCCTCCAAGACGGCCAAAATGGCCTCTAAGACAGCTAAGATGGCCCCAAGATGCCCCCAAGACAGCCCCAGATGCACCCAAGGCGGCCTAAGATGGCCTCAAGATGGCCCAAGACTGCCCAAGAGGCCCCCAAGACGGCCCAAAAGGCGTCCAGGAGGTCTTCCAGGAGGGCACGGAGAGGCCAACATCATAGATGTTCCCAAGGTTGTTGAAAGATTTTGGCATTTGCTTCTTTTCGGCATTCTGACGGCTCAAGACGGCGCAAGAGGCCCCCAAGATCGCCCAAGAGGCCTCCAAGATGGCCCCATGACGGCCCAAACGGCCCCCAAGACGGCCCCAAGAGGGTCCCAAAACGGCCCAAGAGGCTTCCAAGACGCCCAACATGGCCTCTAAGAACCTTTGATATGCCCCAGGGGGGTTTTGTGTACTTCAGGAACAACCGATCGTAGGTTTGAACCTGGATATACATCTGAATTACCAAGATAATCGTAACTGCAACTTCCCAAGACATCAGTATATCTCGAAGATCAGGATGTGGAAATCCAAGCACAGCAACACAATCCCAGCATACATACTATCAAGATCTGATCAAGATCAGTTCGACATTTTCATTCATAGCACAACTCTTTAGCAAGAACGATATCTCACGGTAAGAGTCGGCCCCTCGCGTATGGTCTATCAGGTCGTCGCATTCCTTTGGCAGTCGCCACATAGTACATTCCCATTCGGACTTGCATCACCATCAACTCTGACCTGCGTTCTGCCACACGATGTGCACCGTACGTAATCCACCCAGAACTCGACGTGACTCTCGGTTGCGAGGTCCACCAGCTCACAGGCACAGTGTAGAACTCAGACAGCTGCTCTCTGAAGTCCGCGAAGGCGGCGCACTCCGTCACGCAGTGACGAACAGATGGCCAGAAGGCCTCACCACAGCACGGACAGTACGGGTCACATGTGAAGTCATGATTTCCTCCGCGCGTGTGGGAGCTGGCCGCACCACACATGTATATCATCACCTTTTGCCACTCACTCGGGGCGAGTGCGTCACGAAACTCCTTCCAAGCTTTGCCCGAGAGGGCCTCCACATCAACATCCTCCATACCAGGGTAGTCTCGTCGTGCTGCCGTTGCTTTTGTCAAAGCCTTGAGCCGACATATAGCACGTAGAACATGAAATGCTCGCTCTCCTTCAGAAGTCCAAAACCCACGGCGATTCTGGAAGATACGCTTCACTCTTGGATCATCTTCATCCTCCAACATCTGAAACCTGACCCCCCTCTCAGCATCATACTGCACGTAGTCCAAGCCCACGGCCTCGAAGAAGTTCTGCAGGTTGTGCTCGACCCAGGGGTTGAAATCGATCTCCCACTCTGTAAGACGAGGAGCCGCCGTCAAGACATTCGAAAATACTGGGTGGTACTGAATCTTGGATAGTTTGAGCTGCTGCTCTGGTGCTCTGGGGCCCGTTCTGGGCGTGACTCGCAGCGGGCGTCCACGCGGGGCGTGCGAGTCCAGCCCTGGGAAATGCGCAAAGAACTTTGTTGTTTGGTGATGGCGGTGATGACGACGGCGACGAGTACGGTGATGACAGCGACGATAATGCTGATGATGCTGGCGATGGTGATGACGGCGTGATGATGGTGATTACCATCAGGTCGTTAATGTTGATGGTGAGTGATGTTGGTCGCGATAGCGTGTTGACCCCACACTGGGCATTCTTGAACCCCCACTGGAACGCAGTTGGATCAAATTACTGGTCCTTCGTTGCGGCGCGTTCTTCTTTGGGAGTATGTGATGTTCTCGCGCTGGAGGCCCCGCCACGCGCCGACTCGAAACCTTCTTTAGGGGGCGATGGGGCATTGACGTAGATGCCAGCTTTGACTGTCGCTGCGCCCTCGTCGCAGCCCACCCGCCCCCCCCCTTCCCCCCTGCTTCCCCCTTCCCCGCGGCCCGACCGATGATCTTCTGCGCGCCGCCCGCGACCTGCGACAGCGATCCCGTCGTGTATCGGACCGCTTCGTCGCGGGAGTGCAACCAGGGCCCCGGGGCCGCGCGCGCCCCCGGACGAAGTGTCGCACCCTGGGGTCGAACGTTTTTTTCGAAGCAAGCCGATGATAATCCAGCCACGGCGACGGCCCAGGAAAAGGAACGAGACGCCCCCCGAAAACTTAATCATCATCGAAATCCCACCAGCCCTCTGGGCGTAGGTGGTTTAAGGAGCTTCCTCTTCCAACCTCCTTCTTCCCCTTCGGGGAGGGGCTTGCCCCCCCCCCTCCTACCCCCCCCCTGGGCCTGAACGGGGGGGGGAGGGGGCGCGACGCGTTGGGGCGTCCAAGAAGATGGCCCAAGACGGCTCCAAGAGCGCCTCGGAGAGCCCAAGATGAGCTCTAAGATGGCTCAAGATAGCCTAAAGCTGCCCCCAGATGGCTCCGAAGATGCCCCAAGAGGCCCCGAGACCGCCCCAAGACGGCTCCAAGAGGCAAAAGAGCATCCCAAGGTGGCCCCCACGAGGCCAAAATCTTTCAAACACCTAAGGAAAATACTTGTTGTTTTGCTTTCTCGCCTTTTTTCGCTTCCGATGGCCATCCGAGGCCTCAAGATGGCTCCAAGATGGCCCAAGAGAGCCCCGAGAGAAACCCAAGAGAGCCCCAAGAGGGGGGGCGTAATTAAGGAACCCCCTTCTTTGATCGATGTTCTCCAAGATGGCCCCAAGAGCGCACCGAAAACCCTCTCAAGAGTGCACCAGGAAGAGGGCCCCAAGAGGCACCCAGACGGCCCCAACAAGCGCCCAAAACGCTTCCAATAAGCTCCCAAGATACCCCCGAGACTTAAGAGGTCCCAAGAGCAGAGGGCGAGCGAGCGACGGGGGGAGTGGGGGAGGGTAAAACACATGGCGGAAGGGAGGTGGGATACCGAGGGATAGCAATATATATGTAGATATGTATATATACATATATATGCATGTATAATTGAGAGAGAGGTGGGAAATAATGGAGAAGCTATAACTATATAAAGAGAGAGGGATATGTAGAGAGAGAGAGAGCTATCTGTAACCAGAATAGAGAGAGCGCGCGAGGTGGGAGAGAGGAGAGATGAGAGAGACGGCATCGACAATAACAGCGGCGACTGGAACCACGCCGAGCGCATCGCCCAGCAGGCCCCGTCTCTCTTCTTCTTGTCTTTTTTTGTTGCGCACGAGTGGCAATTGTGTGTGTGGTAGCGTCGACGCCCGCATGCAGTCATGCGCACGCGGTCGCCAATCGGGCCGTCGGCCCGAGCCCGGGCCGTCGGCCCGAGCCCAGAACTTCCGGGCACTCCTCGGGGTCCGCGGGTGCTTTTTCGCTCTCTGGAGAGCTGCTTTGGGCCTCGGGAGCTCCGCGGATGGCCCTGGCGCGCTGG